GAAGTCACTCATGTAGACCTAGCTTCCTGGCTTCTGAATGCTGCTCTAAACATGGACTCACCCAAGGGCAGAGGCACAGCTCCTCAAGCAAGTGGTCGCCGGAGGGCAAGTCCCAAGAGGGGAGGTCAGAACCCTGATCCTGTGTCTGGACTTGTCATGTCACCTGCTGTGAGGACCTTGACCAAGTAACTCCACCTCCCTGCGTCAGTTCTTCATCTATTATATAAACCAGAATGGTGAAGGGGGGTAACAGCTGCCCTCGCTTCCTCAGGAGGAATGGGCGTGCACCTCCTTAAATGATAGCTGTGGAGGCTCAGGGAAGTGTAAACACACTAACATGAGGCCTTCTTTTATTATCAACGTGTTAGTTATCGAATAAGCAGTAGCCTTGCTGAACGCTTACTAAGAGGGGCCAGGCTCAGGGCCTGGGGCTTTGTGTTTAGAGTAACAGAAATTTTAGCAAAATCATACTTCATTTTTCCATGTATGGCTTATCCATCATCAGCCTCAATCATACAGAACGTAATCAAGAACTTTAAAACAAGCTAAAAAGACTTCTGATGAGATCCATGTCAGGGACTGTTGGCCAAAAGTGTCCTACAAGACACACTTGCTTTATTTCAGACATGATGTATGTAGTTCAGGGGCTTCAAACTTATTCCGTAAAAATTTAGATAATAAATATTTTAGGCTTTGCCAGTCAGAGAATCTGTCATAACTATTCAGCGTTGCCATTTTAGTGCAAAAGAAGGCACAGACAATGAACACATGTAGCTGTGTTCCAATAAAACTTTATTTACAAAAAACAGGTGGCAGGCTAGATTGGACTTGAGGGCCAGAGTTTGCAAACCACTGACATAGCTTAGAAACTGGAATCTGAGTATCTTTGGGCTGGCTTTTATTTGCCAGCTCCTCATAGGCTCTAAACTCCATCAGTTCTCACTATGTTTCTCATCTGGCCCCAGTCATGATATTAATAGCAGCAAACATTCATTTAGAATTACTGTGTGCCAGAGCCTGTTCTAAACTCTTTGTATATATTAACTCATATAATCTCTACAGAAACCCTATTATCACCACCATGAAAAATGAGGTCAAGTGAAGTTCCTTGCCCAAGATCACGCGGCTGGTGGCAGAGGCAGGATTTGAAATCGGCTCTCTGGCTCTGAGTCTGTGTTCCTGACCACTATACCACATGGCCCAGCAAGTACCGACTGAACAAATCAGGACAGCAGATGACAAGGAGACACTGCACCTCTCACCTCCTCCCAGAGTCCACTGCTTCCCACAGGCTTACCTCAATCCAAGGGGCTGGGCACCAGGGACTCAAAGTAGCAGGGTTTGCAAATGCACTTAGTGGGAAGTAAGATGCGGGTGGAGGGTGTGGGTGTGTGACCTGGACTCAGGCACTAACAGTAGTAAAAAATAACATGATAGCTGGCAGACTGACAAGAGGAGCAGGAAGGCAAAAGTACAGAAAAAGGAATTACTTATTCACTGATTGTGCAACGAGGTTGGACCAAGCACTCGACACAATCCTAAACACCCCAAGGCCTTGCTCCTCAAAGCAGCACCTCAGCATCACCTGGATGCCTGTGAGAGCCGCAAGGTCTTGGCCCCACACCAGAAGGCCTGAATCAGAATCAGCATTTGAACAAGACAAGGAATCCACACACACTGAGACGCCCCGCTCTGTGCTGGTTGCTACTGCTCCCATTTCATGCGCCAGGAGCCGAGGGCTCAAAGCAGTTAATTGCCTCACAGGCGGGTGAGTTGCAGGACCACATCTGAACCCCAGCCTGAGGTTCCCAGGCTGCGCTTATTCCCTGAGGAGCTCACAGCAAGACCTTCAGGGCATTTACCTTAGCAACAATCGTGTGTCAGTAAGTAATTAGGACATCCTGGTGGGACAGTGAATATGCTTATGTAAAATGCTGACCCTGCACCATCCACAGAAGATTCAGTTAGGCTCAGGAAGCTATTTTTAAAGAAACGTGGAAATGAGTAATACAGTTAAGCAACACTTCAACTAATTTTAATTTCTACAGTTTTCAAAATCTCTTATTTTTACAAAATTGAGTAATTTTTCATTCCCTAATGTTGAAGGACCTTGAATTTGGCCACACTGGACAGACTTCCCTTTACTCAGCACATGTATAAGCTGATGCCAGTGATCAGCCTGGCCCAGAGAGAGATGTCAGGAACATAGATCTGGGGGTTCTCGGGCTGAGCAAGAGATCTGTGTTTGGGATTGGGCTGTAGGCAGTCTCACTGATGCTAAGGGTCTTGAGCAGAAATGCTTCCTAAGTCACTGTGTGTGGGATTCTGGAGTGAGACAGCAAGGTCCTCTCGCTCTCTCTCACTATGCATGACATCAGGACAAGACAGACCACAAAGTACCTCAGTCATGAACTGGGGGCTGATGGTGGGGGATGAGGAGGTAGCCTGTTCCTCCTTAGCCTCTCTATATTTAAGACTGTTTCTTGCTAGGCATTTGAAATGCAGGGAAGACCTATAAATTTTAGTAGATATCCTTGATATGACTATAAGGAACAGGAACCACTCAGGATACTGCAGGGGAGCAGAGTGTAATATAAAAATATATATATGATCTGGAAAAAGAAAGCTTACAGTAACTCCAGCAGCTACTTGTTCTCTCTCCAAGCTGCATGAGTTATATCTATCTGTCTAGGGAGCAAATGGGACAAGGGATGGGAAAAAACACTGCCAAAGCTTCCTGCTAGCCAATGTCAGTGTCGAATGTAACTCTGGGAATTTGGATGCAATAACATCACACTTAAAAGGCGCATCTGTTTTCTGTGCACATTTACTCGATACCACGGGATGGGGTAATTCTGGAAAAAAAAGCTGAAGTCGCACATACTGCACTGTGTCCCAAAGTTTGAGAAGATGTTCTGAATTTATGTGAAAACTTGATAGCACTTTTCATCTTTTTGTGCCTTTCTCATCAAAGGACGCTGGGTAATGCTGATGTAATAATATTGAAATAACAGCCCAAATTTTGGGTATTCAGACAAGACTAGTGTAGACAGACAGCCACTCAGCGTAATATTCGGGCAATGCACTTGAAAGTTCGGGTCACCTGTGGAATTTCAGAGGAATTCCCAAATCACACCCCAACTCAAACGGTTAACACTTTTGGGATTCTGACTGGCATCAAGAAATCACCCTTTTAGTGGCGGCACTATTTTATTCAAGAAAAAGGTGGCCAAAAAGCTTTCAGAACCAATTCATTGTTTTGTTTTTCTAGGAAAACTGAAAAAGCTGCCAGAGGCACCTAGGAAGCTGTACTTGGTTCCAAAACAGAAATGATATAATTTCAAGGTCAAGTCCATAGAGACATGCCAACTATTTTCTTTGAGCAGGTGCAGAGGGGAGAAGGCAGTTATACTTTAAGAGCCCATGTCTTCTTAAAACCAGTGCCATGTGCCATTCATTTTACAACTGGGCTGAGAATGAGAACACCCAGTGTGTCCTTTTAAACCCAATTTGGGCTGAAAGTCGGTAGAAAAATGCTCTGTGAGCAAAGGTCAAACTCTGATACAACAATGTATAAATTCATGAGAACATCTTAAATAACCATTTATAAGCTAGACTGATTTCATTTTACCTGAGAGGAGAAAGTGTGGAATAATGTGGGTAGGAAGTAAACCTTATGTACCAGCCCAGGTTTCTCAATTTAAGCACTACTGGCATTTGGTGCCAGATAATTCTTTGTCGTGGGGCTGTCCTGCGCACTGTTGCATGTTTAGCACCATCCCTGACCTCCATCACCCACTAGATGCTAGTAGTCCCTCCCCTTAGTCATGACAACCACAACTGTCTCCAGACATTGCCACATGTTCCCTGGAGGAATGAAACTGCCCCCAGTTGAGAACCACTGTTCTAAAGGAAGATGGAATTCTAGCTGTTTATAGCAACTGACAGTTATCTGGCATTAAATCAGCTTCCCTGGAAACGGGCCGATTTCATTGTTTCTTAGGCATAGTTAGCATTTTAGAACTGACGTGGAGGCAGCACTGCTTTTCCTTTTTTGGAACACAGGGTCAGAAAACCACTAGCAGGAAATTCTTATCCTGTATATCACATGTGCTCCCTCAGTGAGCAGATTTCTAACTTCCTCAATACGGGAGACTTGGTAACATGAGACCACAGTTCCTGACCATTCCAGAAAGTGATTAACTTTTATGTTTAGAAAGGGGCATGTTTTGAACTCTTGGAGTCTGTTCTGTGCTACACAAACATGTCCTCAAAAATAATGACAGTTGCATACTTCCCACATAAAAAGATTGGCAAGTCGTGTCCACCGGTCGCACCCCAATAGGTTCCTCTCCTGTTTTACCTTCCCCAGATGTGCTCTGGAAATCATCCAGGAGGGCCATGGGGCCCTCATCCAGGGCCCAACGGCCCAATGCTTTTGGAAAATGTGCCTCAGTCTGTGGCCAAGAATGTTGTTTTGTCCAAGATCTCCCGAGCAAACTGTCCGCAGCCAGCCCCCGCAGGCATTTCCTGGTTAGCTGGGTACTGACCACTGTGAGTACTGGCTACAGCCAAGAGGAAAGCTGCCCTCCCCAGGAAAGGGAGCTGCCTATCTTCATCCACCATTTCCCAAGAGGCAGAGGGAAGGAGCCACTTAGCAAAGGGTCTCTCTATTCCAGAAACATGTCCGGCTCCTATGGAAACCTGGCTTTCGGGAGCAAGGACAGGATATGGAAGAAGCTGTGTTACTTCCACATGAAAACAGTGAAGGGCTTTGTGGGGCAGCCACTGTATGGATGAGCAGGTACAGCCTTTATTAGATACCCACATGGTGAGCAACCAAACCTGCACATCTTCTTGTTTACGTCTAAGCAGGTCCCATTAAGCTCTGGGCACTTGGCTTGATTACCCCCTGAATCAAAGTTAAATTAAATTACCCAACGAGCATCTTCT